AAAGGAGGCTGATTGAGAAGCCCCCCTCCCTACACTCACTAATGTAAATTTGATTCCTAGTCAACCCTCAATAATGCAAGAACAAAAATATATCTCTAATAAAGCCATGAAACAGAGAAAAGTGGCAAATAAAAACCAGGCTTATGATTGTTTTAGGCCAGGGGTCAGCAAACTTTTTCAGCAGGGGGCCAGACCACCGTCCCTCAGACCTTGGGGCGGACGGGTGGACTATATTTTGGGGAAAAAATATGAACGAATTCCTATGCCCCACAAATATCCCAAAGATGTATTTTAAATAAAAACACACTTTCTACTAATGTAAAAACACCAGGCAGGCCCCACAACTAACCCAGAGATACATTTTAAATAAAAGGACACATTAAAGTAAAGGTACCCCTGCCCGTACAGGCCAGTCTTGCCAGACTCTGGGGTTGTGCGCTCATCTCACTCTATAGGCCGGGAGCCAGCACTGTCTGCAGACACTTCCGGGTCACGTGGCCAGCGTGACAAGCTGCATCTGGCGAGCCAGAGCAGCACACGGAACGCCGTTTACCTTCCCGCTGGTAAGCGGTCCCTATTTATCTACTTGCACCCGGGGGTGCTTTCGAACTGCTAGGTTGGCAGGCGCTGGGACTGAATGACGGGAGCGCACCCCGCTGCGGGGATTTGAACCGCCGACCATGCGATCGGCAAGTCCTAGGCGCTGAGGATTTACCCACAGCGCCACCCGCATCCCAAAAGGACACATTCTACTCACTGATTCCCGGACCATCCGCTGGCCGGATTTAGAAGGCAATTGGGCCGAATCTGGCCCCCGGGCCTTAGTTTGCCTTCCCATGCTTTAGGCAGTTGGCCCTGAAACTCTTGATTTTTGTTTCTTTCTTAAATAGATCCTTCAAGCCTGAAATATTTGCTCTAGGATAGCCTTCCCCTTTGTAAGCTGGTTAACATGGAAATGGTTCCATGAAAGAAGAAAGATTGAAAATAGTAAGGGATATTTAATAACAGAAACTTTCTATCAAAATAACAACTCCTGAGAATAGGTAGAGTGGGAATGCCCTACAACAATGTAATTTTCAAAAACTTCTCACAGGTGGCATACACTGTGCAAAGATGCTGTTAATATGGCAGAATGACTATATTCAGTGTTGATTTTAGGTTGGTATTATAGAGTGATTTAACCACAATTCAACATTGTTGACAAAGTAAGATGAAGAGTATTTTTAAGCTGCAAGTTGTGCTGATAAAAGGTGTGTGATAGGTCTGGGATGTTTTACATGCTCATACGCATATACTATTCTTGTGATTATATATATGTCAACAGGACACACTCCTGATAAAAGCTTCCCAGCTATCAAGTCTGGCCTTTTTGCAGGGCTCCTATGTATTTTAAAGCTTCAAAATAAATCTGCAGGCAAAGCTTTCTCCATCCTTGTTCAAATTCTTAAAAAGTACTGGTGATCTGCCCTGGGAGTTGTGGAGGGGTTGCAGCAAGCGTGCTACATGTTTGTAGTTAGGAAAATTGGACAACTGCAGATACACTTTTGATAGAGGGCTTTTCTGAAGAGCCAGTTGGCAAAACAAGGGCAGGAGATGGGAAAATGAGAGTAGCATAGCTTGGGGGTACTCCTGGATCCATCCCTGTTGCTTGAGGCTCAGGTTGCCTTGGTGGCATGGAGTGCTTTCCAGCAGCTTTGGCTGGTGGCCCAGCTGCACCCTTATCTGGACAAAGATAACCTAACTTGTTGTCTGTGGTCTGATAACCTTTAGGTTAGATTACCTTAACACACTGTATATGTGAGGCTGCCTCTGGTAACAGTTTAGAAATTTCAGCTGGTGCAGAATTTGGTGGGCAGTTTGCTTACCAGGGCCAGATGGTTTGGGCATACATCACTGTTTCTGGCCCAACTGCACTGGCTGCCAATCAGTTTCCAGGCCTAATTCAAAGTGCAGGATTTGACCTAAAGGTAAAGGTACCCCTGCCCGTATGGGCCAGTCGTGTCCGACTCTGGGGTTGCGCGCCCATCTCGCTTAAGAGGCCGGGGGCCAGCGCTGTCCGGAGACACTTCCGGGTCACGTGGCCAGCGTGACAAGCTGCATCTGGCGAGCCAGCACAGCACACGGAAACGCCGTTTACCTTCCTGCCAGTAAGCGGTCCCTATTTATCTACTTGCACCCGGGGGTGCTTTTGAACTGCTAGGTTGGCAGGCGCTGGGACCGAGCAACGGGAGCGCACCCCGCCGCGGGGATTCGAACCGCCGACCTGACGATTGGCAAGTCCTAGGCGCTGAGGTTTTACCCACAGCGCCACCCGCGTCCCTAATCCCTTTATAGGATTTGACCTATAAAGCCTTAAATGGCTCAGGACAGCAATACCTCAAGGTCCGCCCTTCTCCATAAGAACCAAACTAGACCCTGCAATCATAAACCGAGACCCTTCTTTGTATGCACAAGAGGTTCAGAGGGTGGCAACACAAGAACAGGCCTTTTCTGAGGTGCCCCCCGTTTGTGGAATGCTCTCCCCAAGGAGGCTCGTCTGGTGCCTTCATTGCATACCTTTAGGTGGCAGGTAAAAACATTTCTCAATCACCAGGCCTTTGACTGATTAAATAATCAATGTCCTTTTAAATGTGTTTGTGGGAGGAGAGTTATTTGGTGTTTGTTGTTTTGGTTGTGTATTTTGTGTGTTCATTTTGTGGTTCTGTGTTGTGAACTATCTTGTGATCTTCAGATGAAGGGTGGCATACCAATTTAATAAAGAAAATAATCATAATCATAAAACAGTATTGGGTCATTATAATTTTTGTACACGGAGAACAAGAAAGTCCTGATTTGTAGACTGAGAGCACACCTCTTGAATATAAGACCCAGATGCATGTTTTGAAATACATCAAATCAAGAGACAATTTGACATGTGAAAGGGTAGAGAAGCTCTTCTTAATTCTGACAAACCTTCATTTTCTATAAGTCCTTGATAAACATGACAAATATGAAGGAGCAGACTCAGCAACAGCTCAAAAAATAAGATTAAATAAATTCCATGGAGTATTCATTGAGTTTCTTTGCCCCCCTTCTTTTTCCTCAGCTCTTTTTATAGAAATGTTTGGTTATGTCTGCTTCGCACTGTGGAGGCTGGAAGAGACATAATAATTTTCAGAGTATCATAAATAATTTTCTTTTTATGATAATGTTGATTGATTATCCTGTTTTGGATGTCAAAGAAGAGTTCCCTGGGAAGAGGTATTGATGGTTAAACAACTCTTGAGAATTGTAGGTCTGTGAACTACAGTTCAGAGATTTCTTTTGAGGAGGGGGGTGCCCTCTCTGTTTAAAGTAGTTTGATAATGCTTTAAATTTATAGTGCAGATGAGGCTTGAGAGTGTGCTGCCTTGCCAAAGCACACCTGGTGAGCTCTCAGCTGGGGACCTCTGAGTCTCCTTTGTGTTCAATATACTACTATACCAATTAACAGCTGGATTAGTTTACAGAGGATAATCAGGGTTCATTTGAAGCAGGCTGTATGTATGTTCAGTGCACCTTGGCAGTTGTCACTCTTGGTAACTCCACCTTCTTCACATCTGTTGTTGACATGGATTATTGAGAGATCACCTGAACTGTGCAATTTTCATGCTTTCAGCATGGAGTTAAAGGATACCTAATTTGTTTCCAACACTTAGCAGTCCTTGGTCTCTATGCACTCACACATTTGGCTTCTGTGCCCATGCAGAGCAATGTTCAAAAACTTGTACAATTAAACCAGAAAGATATTTTTGGTGTAGAGGTCTGCCACAGAAGCTAGTGTGCATGCCTGTTAGGGCATGGCCAACATTTTTCTGATGGCTGCGCCCTGAGTTTTTGGTCATTTCTGTATATATGTGGTGTGTATTACAACACTTTAATCATATGTGCTATACAGTGGTACCTCGGGTTACATATGCTTCAGGTTGCATACACTTCAGGTTACAGACTCCGCTAACCCAGAAATAGTACCTCGGGTTAAGAACTTTGCTTCAGGATGAGAACAGAAATCGTGCTCCGGTGGCGCGGCAGCAGTGGGAGGCCCCATTAGCTAAAGTGGTGCTTCAGGTTAAGAACAGTTTCAGGTTAAGAACGGACCTCCAGAACGAATTAAGTACGTAACCAGAGGTACCACTGTAATATGTTTTTGAGACCTGTCTGTTTTTTGTTTGTTTTTGGCTATAGCCTGCATTCAGACTCTTCTACATCTTGCTGGAGGGAAGGTGGTAAAAGAGGATCATACTTCCACCTTTGTATTTCTTCTCATGCCTATGGCCATTTTAAGAAATGCTAAGGGTATGGGAGCAAATTCCCTATGATGGCCAGACACAATTGATGCCTGTTTTCCCAGTGAAGAACTCTTGCCCACATTGCCAAAGTCAAATGCATACTGATACGAAAATACTGCTGCTACTTTATTACTGATATACCCCTGTGGCTGTTCTTAAATCAGTGCAGCCCTGTGTGATTAGGAATTGCAATAAAAAATCTTTTTTATGCAAGTAAAATTAAATCAAAAGCTTACAGAAATACGTATGTATTGTATATGTTTTTTTGTTTTGTTTCTGTTTTTTAAAGTGGAGCTATTTTATAATGGGATACGTTGCAAGAGGAATCTTCAGGTTGGACTTTGGAACTTAAGTAACATTATAGAACAGTAATATTTATCTACTGTTGAATCAAGCATCGGCTTCAGTTCTGTGAAGTGATAACTTAGGTTTTATGTTTGCAGGGGAAACAGTCTCTCACTGGCTCCCTGTGGACACACATTGCTTATTTATTCCTGCATGATTTCTGAGAGCATTCCTTGGTGTGGATAGTTACAATATAGCATCATGACTTAGTTCCCTGTTGCTTGTTCCAAGGCTTTGATTAAGCATCAAATGAAGGTGCCTGGCAGTCTTGAATGTTTAACTTGAAACAACTTGTGAGTGCAAATGTTTTGTTTTCTCTTTCATGCTCACCATGTAAACTCCTTGCAGAAAACTGCAGTAAACTGTAAGTAAATGAAACTTAAAAATGGCCCACCATTGAAAACTTTGGCTGGTTATTGAACCTTTTCTTAAGAAATCCTGACACACAGCACAATATTCCATTTCAAAGCCTGTCTTTTTGTTTTAAGTTTAGAGCATGAAAGTCCTAAAATATAAAATAAAATAAAATAAAAGTAACTATAATCAGGAAACAGGTCTCCAATTTCTAGGAGATCTGGTGTCTGAATGGTGCCAGGGCTGTGTAGACTTGTCATCTGTGAATCTTGTATTCCAGGAAAACCCCTCTGTTGTTTCTCAGTGGTAAATCTGCCACAGGTAGACTTGCCATCCAGACAACATATTTCCACCCTCCACTGAAACTCTTGTTATTTTCTGGCTCTTTTCATTCCTTGTAATCCATAATTAGTTGAACTGCTGCTATACACAGCCCCCCACCCAGGTAACTTTTAAAATATCATAAAGGTCATAAACCTCTAGCATTTTCTGCTGCTTTCCCCAGCAGCATAGCAAGCCTGGGGCAGACCAAAGTTGTTGAACTTTTTTTTAGCTTAGGGTGGCCAGCTTCTTTTTGCCACTCCTCCCCCTTTTTATAGTTTCTTATCATCACAAGCGATTTAGGTTCTCCAGAGTAGGACACATGGCCACACTTTGTTGGCTTTGTTCACATCATGGCAAGCCATGGTTAAGCAGATTGCTCCCACTTTGCTCCTCTTGTAGAGCAAGTGGGAACAACAAAACACAACCCTTGGCTTCACATTATTACACCCCAAACTGGACTTTTGGTTTGTTTTTCTCCAAACAAGCCACAGTTGGTGAGCCATGAACAGACATTGGCCTTAGATTGTGGTTATTTTGGAACCCAACAGAGTACAACACCTAGTTTGGATGTATGCCAATGATTGTGTTTTGTTTCTTCCACCTGCTCTAGGGGAGAACTGGAGTGGGAGTAATCATGGTTAACCATTAACCATGGCTTGCCATGGCACGCAAACACACCCAATATTTTATGAATTACTATGGTTTTTCATTGAAACCTGTTGCAATTCTTTGCTGTAGCCTGTGGCAAAGGGTACCTTTTAATTATTTACTGTTTCAGAAAAGTAACTTTAGAAATCTGTGTTGCATATTCCAGTTACACATGTAAAAATACAGTATACATTTGGATGCTCCTTAATTATAATAGTGGGTAAAGGATTGCCTTGCTTACTTTTCATAACCATACATTTATCCTACCCTTTCTCAATTTTCTTATCATAGGCCCATAGGAATCTCTTGCAGTAGTTTTGATAGTCTTCACTCACTTTCTTCATAACCTGCTTAAAATACACAAACATTAAAATATAAATATCCATGGCTAAAACTGCAATTCACACCCCATTATCAACAGGAATACTTTTAGCAATAAGCATTTATTTGTATGGCTTTCAGACTACCTAAGATCTGTCCTCTGTTGGACACAGTAGATTGCTGTGGGTAATATCTCTAGAAAAGATAAGTGGCTCTTACCTAGGCTACAGTTGGAAGCTAGAGAACAGTCCATGCTGCCCTGACAGTTGGTCTGTTCTGATAGGTGAGGCCTGCCCTACATATATAGTCTGCGAAGCTGAGGTTACCATATGAGGGACATTTAAAAATATATATTTCCATAGTATTTAATTGCTGATACGTCTAATTGTTTCACTGATAATACCTGTGCAAATTTTGCCAGCTTTCTTAATGTGTCTTTCCAAAACCATAAGCTGCAGTGGTTCAGCATACCATTGTGAAAATTGACCATAGCAAATCTGCCTGCTGAACAGTAAAAAAAGAATTTCTTTTCTATGATGACTTCTCTTTGTTTCTTAATTAGGATTGTGATGCGTAGTCCTCCCGCCCCCCCCACACATTAAAGGTAAAGGTAAAGGTACCCCTGCCCGTACGGGCCAGTCTTGACAGACTCTGGGGTTGTGCGCCCATCTCACTCAAGAGGCCGGGGGCCAGCGCTGTCCGGAGACACTTCCGGGTCACGTGGCCAGCATGACAAAGCTGCATCTGGCCAGCCAGTGCCACACACAGAACGCCGTTTACCTTCCCGCTGGTAAGCGGTCCCTATTTATCTACTTGCACCTGGGGGTGCTTTCGAACTGCTAGGTTGGCAGGCGCTGGGACCGAGCAACGGGAGCGCACCCCGCCGCGGGGATTCGAACCGCCAACCTTTCGATCGGCAAGCCCTAGGCGCTGAGGCTTTTACCCACAGCGCCACCCGCGTCCCTTACATACACACATTAGCTGTTTGCTATTTACATTACACACACACATTAGCTGTTTGCTATTGCCGTAGTTCACATTGAAAAAGCCCCCAGGGCTTTCTTATGCATTTTTACAGTATATGCATTGAGAGTGCAATCATTGAGTCAGCCCACCTATGGATATAGTTAGATATTTCTAAGCCGTTTCAGCCACTGTGCTAATGGGTATAGCAGCCACTTGCTGCAGATAAATTGTTAGATGGGCCTGTTTACCCATTTCATAATCTGTGTGAACAGTATATCTAAAGTATTTGAAGTGGAATCTGACCCTCTGTGTCAAACCAATCTATTATTAACTGTGCTAAAGTAAGAGCAGATACTAAAAATACTGGTTCTTCATCAGTACTTAAGAATATTACTATTATTATTTATTTCATTAATGAATTGCTTCCTATGGGACATCTCCAGGTGATTTGTAGTGCAATGTAAGGTACTTTCTGTTATGCGTAGTGGTCCAGTCTTCAGCCCAAAGGCTTAGTGGAGCAGATAACAATACAAATGCTTAGGATAGTAAAAACAGCATGATAAAAATGGAAAAGCAGCAAGATAAAATAGAAATGGCCCATGTCATACTGGATTATCTTTTTAGATCTAAATATACAGTATACCTTGGATGTGAGGTCCAGACAGTGGTTTTTGCAAGTCCTACAGTTGCCAAGGACGCGGGTGGCGCTGTGGGTAAAAGCCTCAGCGCCTAGGGCTTGCCAATCGAAAGGTCGGCGGTTCGAATCCCCGCGGCGGGGTGCGCTCCCGCTGCTCGGTCCCAGCGCCTGCCAACCTAGCAGTTCGAAAGCACCCCCGGGTGCAAGTAGATAAATAGGGACCGCTTACTGGCGGGAAGGTAAACGGCGTTTCCGTGTGCTGCGCTGGCTTGCCAGATGCAGCTTTGTCACGCTGGCCACGTGACCCGGAAGTGTCTTCGGACAGCGCTGGCCCCTGGCCTCTTAAGTGAGATGGGCGCACAACCCTAGAGTCTGTCATGACTGGCCCGTACGGGCAGGGGTACCTTTACCTTTACCTTTACAGTTGCCAAGAGACATCTCCTCCACCCCCACTACACTCGGGATTGTACCTGACACAGGACATAGGCATGCCACACTTAGCTATTGATATGTGAGCTATGTATGGAGAACGATGCTGTCTTGAGCAGGAAGGATTACAGATGATTGGATAGGACAGTAATGTCTCCTGAAAAGACCCCAAATGGAAGCAAAGGTGCCCGTTGACCAGAATTCAAGTGACTTTTCACTTTTGTTTTATGTTTGTCAATTATATCACTCCTCGCAGAAGTGAACATTAGCATAGGATCAAAGTGACTTATTGAGATGGATCAGTGTTTCCAAACTCTTCTCCCCATGGATCACTTGAAAATTGCCAAGCATCTTGGCAGACAATGATTTTTCTGCTTGTTTTAGCAGAAAAGATAGGATAGTGACCTATGTCAGATATGGAATACTTTCTATATAAGGCTGAATTCATTTCTGGAGGGAAGCAGCTTTAATAATTTTTTAGCTGTGTGGTTTTTTGTTCATTTTTACAAAAATGCTGCTGAAAGCAATAAACTGCTCAGGACTCAGCTGTACAGCTCCAAATAAAATGTTTAAATGTGTTGCAAAGTGCAATATACAAATGTGACACTAGATGGTGACAGTGAGCTATGCAAAATTCAATGTACTTTTCAAAACCTTTTTTTTTTAAAAAAACACACCATTTTCAAAGTGTTTTTTTATATGTGTAGATTCCATCTCAGTTTGTGTTAAGGAGTTACTATAGAGAAGCTACAGTCTTGCTTGTACTTGTTCTTTCAGCCCTCTTGTAAAACTAATTACAAACTTAACCTTTCCCTTTTGTATGCAATGGCTGAATATATTAATTACATTTTTTAGTCTTGTTATTCACAAGGGTGTTGTACAGATACACAGTAAGTTTTATATTTAAGTTACACTCCTTTTGTATTTATCTTGGTTTTGTTTGCAGCTGAAAAGCCTTATTATTGTAGCATTCGCTAAAGGTCAAAAGCAAATTAATTGTGTGCTGAATAAGAATTCAAACTGAAGTTACATAACCCTTGTTGTATGTGTTGGCTTCCCTACTAAAACAGTGACTCTAAACTTCTTGTACTAAGCTTCGTCATGTTGAAATTTAGCTGAAATTTCCTTGTACTGGAAAATTGAGGGCTGGGAGAAACCTCAGTATTGCATACACTTGCTACATTTTCTTTCTTAAAAGCTTGTTTAACAGAAATATGCACACCAAAAGCAAGTTGTTTTCTGTGACAGCAAACAATCCAACTAACTAAAGCAATTGCTAATAGTAGCCCTAGAACAACCTAATACAGTTACAATCTGGTTTTTTTCATCCAAAATCAGATGCATGCTAGATACAAGTCTTTAAAGCTCAACTTTTAATTATATTTGGAAAACAGGAAAGTCATTCTCAGTACACAATATAATCTAAAAGTTTTATTTTAACTTATATTTTGTAACTTTGGTTTGTTAATTATATCTTATTTAATTACACACTATCAAAGATGATGTAAAAAACAAAAAAAGTAATTAACATCGAAATATATAGACAGAGGGAGGTAAGCTAGTGTACTAGATAGGACTTTCCTGTCTTGCAAGTACAGTATAAGTTCAGCTTTATAGTTTTGCATCTAAACCATATATCTTATAGAAAAAAAACCAACCCAGAGCATAACTGTAGGTGGGTGGTTTTCAACTAAGTTTTATTCAGAATGGACCAGCTGAAATGGATGAACATGACTAAGGGTCATTAATTTCAGTAGGTTTACTCTGAGTAAAGATTAGTTGCATACAACCCATTGTTTATTAGCTAGCCAGATTGTTGTCACAGTTAACAGACAGCTTGTTTTGGTATGCATACAACTGAAAGAGATACTATTTATTGAATGCTTTCAGTGCACAGGAACAGAAGAGAAGGTTAACTCTCTGCTGCAGAAGAGCTAACAATCTAAGTAGGGCTGCAACTTCAAAGGCACAAATTCATTCTGTAATCCTCTGCTCTTGTGTACCAATATATATTGCCCCTCCTCCTTGTCAACTGTCAGTCAGGCAAAATGGATCAAAATATGGTTCTTCCATGAGCAATCAGGATAAAAAATGAACCAGTCAACCAGGACCAAAAAGGAACCATTTTTGTGGCCTGCAATATCTCTCACATTTACTAAGGAAGCAATTAGTAGCACAAATCATGGAATCACCAACACGCTGTGGAGGTTTAGTGTATTGTGTGCTGTGCCCACCTATCTGGTCTGCACTCATACATAAAATCTCAATGTAAAACTTTCAAACTGTGAAGGAGAAAATTTTATATTTTTAAGACACCAAAGTTTTCTGCTGTCCCTGAAAGTGGGACATTTTTTAAAAACAGGTCTATCTTTAAGAAATACATGGTGTTGCCAAACCAGGTTATGAAAAAGAGAACTCATTTATGTCTTTCTGAAATATATTGTTTCATTCATATGACCACTTGAAGCAGAGCTCTAACAGGAATTGGGAGGGGGGGGAATGAGGCCATATAAGCAAGGAATATAGTAGCCCCGTATAGGTCTGTGTTTGAGCTTCTGATCTAAGATTCCTTTCCTCCTCCTAGGCAACTTAATGGCATATGATGTCTGCATGTGTACATATATATGTTTTTTGCTTGGGACAAACTACTCACATAACACTTCTTGGAATGAACTGCTTTTATGAGCCTGCCTCAGTAGTGCTGTATGAAAAAATAATGTGGACAACTTATTTCTATGTCACTTTTTCGTATTTAGGTGCTCAGGGGTTCACTGCAAAATGTAATCATGAAAGCTAAAATATTTTTATGGGCACAAAACCCTGTGATGATAAATACAGTTTTAAACTAGAATAGGCACACACACCACCTTTCAAAATATGGTGGTACAGTGGGAGGAACTGGAGCCTGTTATTCTGGCCAACCTTTGTGCACCGTTATTAAAAAATTCCTGCAGCCTCCCAAGATTAAACTTACGATGGGAAAAAACATGTGGCATAAACCTGTGTTTCAGAAGAAAAAAAAGCACACTTTTATTTCTCATTCCTTCCCTTCCCCCAGCACTAATAATACTTGGTAATACTGTATTTCAATTTCTTTAGAGAATGTCTGGATGTATCCAGCTTTCATATGCTGTTTGTAGAGTTGGCATTTACACGGTAAGCAATATGCCATCTTTTGATGCAATGTATGCTCGAGTCTTGCAAAGTGAATTCTAGTATTTGTGCCTTAGATCCTCTGTTGTAGCTACTCTGTATTTCCAGCCCGTGTATTGTGCTTAAATTGTGTCCTGTGGAAGTTGGCTTCATGTGGTGAAGTGTTTGGCTTTATACATTTACACAAGTTCCTTAAGTTATTGTTGTTGTTGTTGTTGTTATTCCATCATTACTCATGTATATTCCCTTTTTGAGGATACAAATACTTCCAAGGCAATTCACAACATTTTGACTTTAAAGCTAGGAACATAAATTACACAGCTATAATAGAACATATCTATAAAGGTAAAGAGTAAAGGGACCCCTGACCATTGGGTCCAGTCGTGACCGACTCTGGGGTTGCAGCGCTCATCTCGCTTTACTGGCCAAGAGAGCCGGCGTACAGCTTCCGGGTCAAGTGGCCAGCATGACTAAGCCGCTTTTGGCGAACCAGAGCAGCGCACGGAGACAGCGTTTACCTTCCCACCGGAGTGGTACCTATTTATCTACTTGCACTTTGATGTGCTTTCGAACTGCTAGGTTGGCAGGAGCAGGGACTGAGCAACGGGAGCTCACCCTGTCGCGGGGATTCGAACCGCTGACCTTCTGATCAGCAAGTCCTAGGCTCTGTGGTTTAACCCACAGTGCCACCCGCGTCCCATATATCTATAAATCATAGCAATTATATCACACCCTACGAGCATTGAGCAAAAGGCAAACTAGTGCTGCCCCAGTTATAACCCAAGACATGTCCAAACACATCACAATATTTATGGCTCTGCCAAAAGCACTGATTGAATAGATCTTGCATGTGTTTGATGGGGTGGGGGGAATTATCTGTTGAGGGGACCAAATAGGGTTGCACTGCTTGTAGCAAGCATCCTCGCTTCTGATGACTACACCTGCAATAGGGCATTGTTAACTGAACTGAAAGCGCTGGAATGGAAATAGTGTCCCTAAGGTTTTATAGAGTCCTGGTTTTTTAAAGGTGAAAAGCAGCACTATGAATCGATCCTGGAAAGCTAAGTGGTTACCAGTAGAGCTCTTGTAATATTATTGAATTGTATTAGCACTGGATAAAAGCTGTACCACCTCAGTCTAAAGCAACTGCAGTTTTGGACTGTCTTCCAGAGCCGGTCTATGTAAAGTGCCTTACCGTAGTGAAATCGGGCATTTAAAACAGTACCAATGTCCGTATTTTCCGGATGGGGGTACATTTTGGCATAGCACTTTCTATCAGAATCAAGCATCATCTACTATCTGCCACCACCATCAGCACCTGTATTTCTGGATTTCAGAAATACCTCCAAGCTGTGAACTTGTTGCTTTGGAGCAGTGTGTCTTCATCCAGGATAGACATATCTACTTCTCCAATCACCATAAGCATCTCTGTCTTCTGTGTATTCCAATATCAGCTGGCTCACCAACTATAGACAGACACTGAACACTGATTCTTATATTACTATGCAGCATGGTTTGTTGCTTTCACACGAGAGTTCATGCATTTAAAAATGGGGAGACCCAATGGCATGGGTAGATCAACAATTACTTTTTAGGTATCATACAATTACTTTTTATGCCAACATTGCCAGCCTCCCGGAAGGTGAAGCACTGCTGTAGGAAGGAACCTGTTCTTGGCCCATCCCACATTCTCTCCCTATTCCATAAGTTATCCATTTAGTTTGGGACCAGTCACACATAAGCAGTCAGCTTTGAGACACTGCTGTGCATTGCCTTCACCAGCAGCACTTGTCCCAATTGTGGATATGGATATTGCCTACACATGATGGTATGCACAAATGTAGTTTGGAAGCAATGTCCACATGCTCCTTGTGATTGTTCAGTTTACCTTGGCAGTACTTAGTGCTTATGACCGCAGTGCACATATATAATGAACATTACAGGAAGGAGGCAGCTTATAATAATAATTAATAATAATAATAATAATAATAATGATAATAATAATAATTTATTTATACCCTGCCCTCCCTGGCCAGAGCTGGGCTCGGCGGCTAACACCAGTAAAATTACAATGAAAACATAATGGGGGGGGGGGAGACCAATTTAACATACGGGTTAAAATACAATTTAAAATGCAGCCTCATTTTAATAGCAGCCCATAGATCAAAACCATAAGGGGAGGGAAGCATAAGCGTCAGACCGAGTTCAAACCAAAGGCCAGGCAGAACAGCTCTGTCTTGCAAGCCCTGCGGAAAGATGTCAAGTCCCGCAGGGCCCTAGTCTCTTGTGACGGAGCGTTCCACCAAGTCGGGGCCAGTACTGAAAAGGCGCTGGCCCTAGTTGAGACCAATCTAACTACCTTGCGACTTGGACCTCCAAAGTGTTGTCATTTGTGGACCTTAAGGTCCTCTGCGGGGCATACCAGGAGAGGCAGTCCTGTAGGTACATGGGTCCTAGGCTGCATAGGGCTAATTTATTATTATAATAATATTTATTATTTATACCCTGCCCATCTGGCTGGGTTTCCCCAGCCACACTGGGCAGCTCCCAACAGAAGTAATGCGTCATAAACGGTGCAGACTCATATTGACTGAGGAGGAAGAGCGTAATCCTAGATTGGGCAGATGTCCAGCAATTGTGTAGGCACAGGCACATTAAAGGATTGCTCTAGGGTATTGCTGCATCTCAAATTGAGACATTGTACCTTTGTATAATAATTTTCAATGTAGATTCTCCTCCTTCCTTGAACTGTAGGCCTAAGAAGGTCAGCTCCCAACACAACTGGACATTTTGGATGTGAGCTGCTGTTGCAGGCTTATCTAATTTTGAAAACTTTAGAAATAATTTGAAAAAGATTTGACTGCAGCTATTGACTTAAAGAACAGTTGTGAGGCCTTAATTGCACTCCAGAATCTGTCTGGTTCTATGGCAGTTTGGCAGAGGAATGCCATATCCTGTCCTCTTTATTGACTTGTCAGTTCATTTTACTGCAGCTTTCAAACTTCTTGGGAAGTCTCCCTGCTAAATGCTAATCTAATTGGGCTATGTTTGTCATCTAAGAATTGACAGGATTACAGCAGGGAGTTTTTAAGCCACAAGGACAGAGCAAGCCACCTGTGTGTGTTCTCTGCCAAAGGCTGGGCCAGTAACTGTCCATGGGGAAAGGGATGAGGGAACATATGAGCAAAGAACTAATGGATGCTTAGGTGAAAGTGTGAATGTGTGCAGCCCTTTGTCTTGGCGGAGGGTGGTGTTTGTGCTCATTAAACAGCTGATATCTAGCACTGGATGGAAGGGACTATAAATGCATAATATGCACTATTAAGCCAATGACTGTCATTTTAGTATTGGTATTCTGTCCATAAATTATACTATCTCCCCTCCCCCCGTTGCAAACATGGGGTATGACCTGGTTTTATTTAACTCTTTTTGGTTTTTATTTTAAAATGTGCATTGGAAATGAAGAAAGACATTTTTAAATCCTGTTTAGTACTGTTCATGGAAAATGCGGGACGCGGGTGGTGCTGTGGGTAAAACCTCAGCGCCTAGGACTTGCCGATCGCATGGTCGGCGGTTCGAATCCCCGCGGCAGGGTGCGCTCCCGTCATTTGGTCCCAGCGCCTGCCAACCTAGCAGTTCGAAAGCACCCTTAGGTGCAAGTAGATAAATAGGTACCGCTTTATAGCGGGAAGGTAAACGGCGTTTCCGTGTGCTGCGCTGGCTCGCCAGATGCAGCTTGTCACGCTGGCCACGTGACCCGGAAGTGTCTGCGGACAGCGCTGGCTCCCGGCCTATAGAGTGAGATGAGCGCACAACCCTAGAGTCTGGCAAGACTGGCCCGTATGGGCAGGGGTACCTTTACCTTTTACCTTTATGGAAAATGCAGAGTACAGAATCTTCTTCTTCTTCTTCTTCTTCTTCTTCTTCTTCTTCTTCTCCCTGAAAGGGGCTACAGTGGCACCTTGTAGACTTTGCATATTGAAGGGGGGAAAAATATGAGCAAATAGATATTCACCAGAAATACGTAATAGCCAAGATTTTAAAAAAACCCCATTATATTATTGCAGGAAAGCAGAAGTATTTGTTTTCAGCTTGCTATTAAGTATGGGCAGTTCCGGATTTACGTATAAGCTAAAGAAGCTGTAGCTTAGGGCCCTACTCTCTTGGCCCCCCCCCCAAAAAAAAAAAATTAAAGGGAAAAAAAGTGGATGTACATTTCCAAAATATAAGATAAAAAACAAATAAGATAAAACCTACATACAGCACAGTGTTTTGTGTTGTATAGGCTCCTATGGTGTAAGTAATGGGCCCCGCCTGCTAGCCTGCTCCCTAAAATATCACTGATTTGCTCATTTCTATATCCAGCCACTCCTACCTGAGCACTTCAGTGGGTAGAGCTGGAATTGTTGTGTACAGTGGTGCCTCGCAAGACGAAAAGAATCCGTTCCGCGATTCTCTTCGTCTAGCGGTTTTTTTGTCTTGCGAAGCAACCCTATTAGCGGCTAAGCGGATTAGCGCTATTAGCAGTTTAGCGGCTTAGCGGCTATTAAAGGATTAGCGGCTAAGCTGCTAAAAAAGGCTATTAGCGGCTTAGCGGCTTAGAAAAAGGGGGGGGGAGCGGGAAAAAAAATCGCAAGACTAGCAAGCCCATAGGGAAAATCGTCTTGCGAAGCAACTCAGAAACGGAAAACCCTTTCATCTAGCGGGTTTTCCGACTTGCAAGGCATTTGTCTTGCGGGGCACCACTGTATATGTATGAGGTTACGACTGTGGGAGGGGGGAGGGAGAACAAGAAAGTGCTGTATGCTTGCATGTTTCATGAGTGTGGTATGTGTGTACGCCTTGTATGTGTATAGTGTGCCTATGCACACTAGCCATGCCAACCACTGGCAAGTGGCCATCACAGGGGTGGCATCTACTTTAGCATCCTGTTCTCACAGGATGGCCAACCACATGGCTGTGAGATGCCTGCAAGCGGGGCATGAGTGCCACAGCACTGTCCA